TTATGTTAAACTTATATTAAAGTTTTTCTTCATTACCCATTCAAGCCGTCTCCAACCATTATTAGTCTCAAAGTGGGTTCCTCGTAATCGAATTTAAAATAGTGTTTGTATGATACAATATAAACAAAATTTCATTACTGGAGCATGCTTAAAATAGAATAATTGGAAACACAGGACAATAGACAATGAGAGATTTTGTGACTGTGAACACTCAAAATGTAACCAAAATATGTCATGACATTTAGACTTACAGATAACAAAGCCGGTGGTTAGTAGTCCCGCACTCCCTAAGGCGACGAGAAACCGCAAGACGGTAAACATAGCAAAAGAGGTTGAGAAAGCAGTGGCTAGGCCACTCGTGACGATGATTACGACACAGATTAGAATAATTGGACGACGACCGAACCTAAATATAATAGAAAGAAATGTGACTGAATTGTTAATATTGATTAATGCAGGGTATATGATATATTTTATTTTATTCAAAACATACTGATGCAGAATAAAAAACATCACATCTTAAGATCCAATAAATCTTTTTACCACTTTCCTTTGATGTAAAACTTACATAGCTTGTTATTTTATTTTCTAAAATATGATTTTAATTATATATTTGAGGATGCAGAAATGAAAACGATAACTTAGGGTTGGAGTTTTTTACAGGCAGATAAGTATTTTGTTAATTTACTTGAATCGGTTCGGTACTAGTTATAGCATTAACAGTAAGATCTTTTGTTTCTTTACTCAGGTTACTGGTACAGGATTTTTCAAAGTTATTTTTATATAAACAAACAGCCTAACTCTTAAGAATTTAGCATGCAGTTTACCTTACCTGTCAAGGTTTGACCTTCTCTGTCCAGATTTTATCTTACTAATCTATATTTATTTTAGCTATCCATATTTTATCTTAACCGTCCGTATTCCATCTTAGCTATCCAGATTATCTTATAATATCCATAATATCTACATATTATCTTACCTGTCTGCTAACTGACCAAACATTATAGTGGCCACAAGAAAGCCAGCCATGTAAATAGACTGAGTCAAAGACACCATCCACTCGTCGTCACATACTAGGTCCCACTGCAAATATATATATATATACAAACACGTTAGCTGTTGCTGTGTATTGGTTTTGTAATAGTGTCCCTCATTTAATTTAGCTCATCTCAACTTGTTGTTATGCAGTACATAAATATATAGGAACTGAAATTACTGAATGCACTCCAATTTCCAACCCCGTTCTAAAGGCCAGATTGTTTCTAAAATTGTTTAAAATATTATCTGTCTTAGGCGATACCTGAACATATATGTTTCAGTTGTTTTTGATTAAGCGATTTTAAATACGATCCACCGTAATCTTTATGCTCCTCTGGGTCTATACAAGACAATAAGCAGTAATAACCCCAAGCAGCTTTGTATTTACAGGGCCTACCTGTAACCAGATAAAGTAATAGCAAGTTGGTAAACAACGAATTATAAGCATAATAAAGTTTCGACAAAACATTGGTCTGTCAGTGAAGTGAGATTCTTCATGTAATAAAAGTTTTACTTCGGTCAGTTTATTGCTTCATATCTAGAATTAAATAGGATATTTTTACTCTAAGTACTCGTGTGAACTTTATAAGAATCACAGAAAAAACAATAACATATAATTTGATGGACGAGTAACATTTTAAGAAAAAAAAATGGTAAAAGATATAATAGGTGTTGATTTTCTGTTATTTTAAGATTTTTGGAAAGCAAGAAATAGAAAATAGAAAAAAATAGCCAAACAGACACTGCCAATCATGTTTTTGGAAGAAAACGAATCGAAATATAAAACAACTAACGTGTAACATATAATTACCAGCTGGATTTTTGGTTGTCAACAAAAGCAAATTGAAACTTAATAATACATTAAAAAAACACGAAATTGGACCTCTGGAAATGAAAACTGGAAACATTCAGTGTGTTAAATACAACAAATAAGAGGGAGTCAAATGAAAACCAGAAATAATCAGTGAACTATCCAACAGAGACTGGCATTGTGATTAACTTAAGCTGTTGTAGGTGAAACTTTTTATGACTTTACCTCGTTAATAATTGTAGTTTGATAAAAGGATTTATCATACTCCCATGTATCACATTTCGTTGTGGTGAGATTCATCATTTTTCCACCAAAATTATCGTATCTTTCGCAGTGGCTGTGGAATATTTTCCCATTATCCTTCTCAATGGGAATGCTGTTGTTTTTCCACTGCTCTACGGTTAAGTTACTGAAACTTGGTGGTCGACTACACCAGTGGTCAATGTTTGGGGCGAAAAAAGTGATGACTAAGTTGTGCCAAGCCGGTACAAAGCTGGCTAAAACAAACATGATGAAAATCCTTCTTTGCCATGGACCATAGCCTCCTATTACATCAGTAATCTCTTTCACTTCTTCGATCTCTTCCTGCTTTTCAGAAGACATGATAACACAGTTTTCTGAAAACAATAAAAGGTATAAAATATCGTGGGGAAATAAAGTAACAAAATGAAGTTAAAATAGGTTTAATTAAATTATCAAATTTCATTTTTATCAATCTTTTATCTTTTTAGAAAACACGAAAGTTTGCTCTATTTTACTACAAGGGCCAATGTTTCGTAATTACAGTTATGAATGTAAATTTGATGAAGAGGAACTCACTTTCTAGAAAACAAAAGTTTTTCAGAAGTGGGTTCCTCCTCATCAAATTTAAATTCATCACTCTTAGGGATTTTCAGAGATATCCTATAGGGGGCGTTGTTTCTTCAATTAATATGAAGTACTTTTCAGTACATACAAAACTAGGCTTAATTATTTCTGCGTGACAATGGGTTTTCATCATTTGGTATATACTTTACCATCATGAATTTTTAATATTTATTTGTTTTTCTTTGTTTTTACTGATACTTGCTCTGTATATACATATTTATATGTTGCTAGCTTTAGATGTCTTAAGAGTAATTAATATAAAAAAAACCGTTAAATATAGGACTAGAACGCCTTCCTCTATAAATTTATTCTACAGATGGGACACAGATGAAGTTACCCTAACATTCCGTAAATGTTTACTGATCATTGAGCCAATGTTCTCATTATTTTTTCAAAATAATTTTAGACGACATTTCATGTCGATAACAATCTAAATAACACTGGAAAACTTGCGCTCCCATCTAATTAGATCTAGGAACTGTTAACAGAGCTAGATGCAATAAATAATATCAAATTAAGCTTTGAATGCGATTTTAAGTCCCCTAGGGACGAAGTCTATCACCATAAAATTACTGCTAAAAGTGGAGCACGACTGAAATGAAATTAAGCGTCATTACGTAAGAAGACTAACAACTACTACTACGTTAAAAGGCTAACAACTACTGTATCAGAAGGCTAACAACTAATTACGTTAGAAGGCTAACAACTATTACGTTAGAAGGCCAACAACTACTGTATTAGAAGGCTAACAACTACTGTATTAGAAGGCTAACAACTACTACTACATTCAAAGGTTAACAACTACTGTATTAATAATGGTTGGAGACGGCTTGAATGGATAATGACGAAAAACTTTAATATAAGTTTAATATAACAGCAGGTGATGATGACAAAACCTTATCGAAACGGTGTACATTTGCTGTTATGTTAAGCTTATATTAAAGTTTTCGTCATTACCCATTCAAGACGTCTCCAGCCATTATTAGTCTCAAAGTGGGTTCCTCGTCATCGAATTTGAACTACTGTATTAGAAGGCTAACAGCTATCACGTTAGAAGGATAGCAACTACTGCATTAGAAGACTAACAACTACAACGTCTTCAGACTTACCGCTGAACTCCAGATGGCAGTACATTAGAAGGCTAACAACTGCTTCGTTAGAAGAGTAACAGCCATTATCTTAAAAGATTAACAACTATGAAATATTTCGGCTTTCTCTTTGCATGTCTTAACTAACACACTCTTGATATTCGTTAGTGTTGCCCTTAATGTAATTCATTACAACTTACGAAATCTTCTTCAATAAACATTGCAGGGTGTTATTTGTCATCTTACATATTTTAAATGTTAAGGCTTTAAACCATTTCAACTTGATTATTAATAGTGAATAGATCAATGACTCAGAAATATTAGATTCGTTCCGTTGTTGTATGTCCAGATGTAAAATAAAAATATCGGTTCTGTTCCTTGTTGTGTGCTCACATGTAACATAGAAATATTAGTCCATTTCCGTTGTTTTATGTCAAGATTAGCGACATAGAAATATTGGTTCCGTCACGTTGTTGTGTGCCCAGATTAACAACATAGAAATATTGGCCCAGTCACGTTGTTGTGTGCCCAGATTAACAA